ACTTTCTGATATAAAATTGACTTAATGGGTGTTTATTAAAGTACATTATACTTAAACAATATCTAAAATTTAACAACAGTGCTTCAAAATATCATGAGATTGTCAGAAGAATTTTATTTTCAAATGATTAACTAGTCATGAATTTAAATTATTATAGTATGATTATGAAAAACTGTAGAACATCTGATGATTTAATATATATCTACGCTTTTGGACAAAATAAAACTGGGTTCGGCTGCAGTGTAATAAAATGAGATTATTGAAATGTTTCATTAAACAAACTTAAATTATTCAGAACCCTCTGAAGCTTGTGGAAAGCTTTGCTGTTATTGTGATTAACTTCATTAGATCCTTTTTAATCTAAAGTGATTCAAGCTTAAGGCTTCTCCGTGTTTTAGTTAAAACATGAAGAAAATTGAGGGGAATTACTTTAGCTTGTTAATTCTAATGACTCTGCCTAATTGTACTTTTAGCACAAATTGCTACATTAAGTTAACTTTCACCACAAAGTGCAGGATCCGCCTGGGAAGAGAAAAGGCAATTTGATATATTTTAAAATATATTTTTGGTGTTTTTACTTTAATATGACAGATGAAAGACGAAGGAATGAAATGTTCAAAAACCAAAGCAAAGTAGATGATAGTGACCATCTCATTAAAGCTCTCAGGACATCATGAAAAAGCAATTTCATAAGACCCTTCAGCCCATCCAGAATTTTAAGCCAAAATATCTATGAAATTTGAATAAAGTTGAAAGCACTCAGTGTGATTAAACGCACATCTTATGGGATTCCTTTTAAAATACATATTTCCATCACATTTTGCAGATGGATTGCATCATGTTTAAAGGAAATCTAAAAATAACAAAACTCAGAACATTCATTGGAAACCTGATAAGCCTGATCAGGAACTAAACTTGTATGCTTTTGTTGTGCTTTTAGTTAATGATTCCAACTATCTATTAGATTTTTAATTTGAGCTAAAGAAAGAAAACAACATTTGCTGAGTTTCTATTCTAAAAGCAGGTCCTCTAGAGTTTGTTAAAAGTATTTATAATTAAAAAGCTAAAAACATTAATTTGAATGCCTTCATTTTTCTTTATTCTAAATTATGACTACAACTAAAACTACAACATTCAATGATTGATATACATTTAAAAAAATGATGTTTTCACATTTGCGATATATTGTTCAACCTTTTCTAGTTATCGGCCTGGAGGGTACTAATATTGCAATAATAGTTTTGGCTGAAATCTGATATATGCACATATGTTTTATTTGTACTCTGCCACAATACAACATTATGCTGCACTTCATATTCCTCAAATGACCTTTGCATAAATGTGCATGCTTTACTTGCTTGTCAGTTAATGTAATATAGAGATGGACACTAAGTAAAGAGAAAATTGATCTATTTACACATTGGTGTTATTAGCCTTGTTGACTTAAAGCAATACAATGCTAGATGTAGGTCCTGGCCTTTCGATGTGTTTGGTCTATCTTCATACTCCCTTCCTCCCACAGTCCAAATGCATCTATTATAGCCTGGCCTCTTTAAATTGCCATTTAAAATTAGTGTTGGCTTGCATGGTTATTTATTACACACCTCTCTGTGTTGCCCTGCAGTGAACTGGTGACCTCTTCAGGATGCATTCTGCTTCTCACACTTTCACTAGTTGAAATAGACACTGTGACCCTTAGTAGTAAATGGAGAAATGGGAATGTTGTCTTGTTTCTGTACCAAAGCAAACTCATCCATTAGTCCTCAGTGTCTGTAGACCTGCTGTCCTGACATCCTACATCATTTAGGTTCCTGTTGGCCAAAGAAAACAAATAAGCACATATCAGGACACCTTGCAGATTGCCATCGCTGTAAAGTCACGGATAGAGATATCAATACACCTGCTTCAAAAACCCAATGTAATCTTGATAGCACTGTGGAGAGCATGTTCTTTGATTTCTCCAGTGAGTTTAACACAATCGAGCCTGATTTGCTTTGTCAGGAATCTCAGAAGACACAAGGGAAGGCCTGGACAACGGCCCGGATTAACGATTACCTGACATACAGACCACGGTTTGTGAGACTGAGGGGTCATGTATCTAACCAAGTATTCAGAAGCACAGGAGCACTGGAGGGGATGGTGCTCCCACCATTCTGTTTTACTCTGTACATCTCAGACGCCCAGTACAAGACAGACTAGTCTCATCTGAATAAAACTCAGAGGACTTTTCAGTCGCTAGTTGCATCAGAGACGGACAAGAAGCTGAGTGCAGAGAGCTGCCTGACCGCATAGCAGCATAGTATGAAAACAATCATCTTATCTTAAAATTAAACTGAGAGATTGATGATTGTAGATTCAGGAGAAACAGGATTTGGTCAAACACTGTTTTCATTGTGGAAGAATGTGGTGGAGGAGCCCCTCTGTGCTATACTGGACATTCAACGGTAAAGGCAACTCCAAGAAAGAAATGAGTTTTTGGGGATAGCTTTGGTCCTTCAGTGTGTGCAACTACATGCTGCATATATTTTATAAAACTATTTTGAAAATTCTGTCTCTTCTGTAATCATTTCTTAAGCTTGCAGCATCAAAGCTTTTGGCACTCATGCTTTTATCACTTACTTGCTGTTTATTTATATTCAGCAGATTTTACTATGTTATTTGCCTTTGTTTTTTATTTATGGTCAGGTCCTTTCATTCCTTTGTGTTCTTTTACACTTTGTTCATCTTCTGCTCTACTCATCTCTGTATGTACTCCTGAGTAGAGCCAAAAAGAAAAGCCAAAAACCAGTCCTAAAAAGACAGTGATGGAGGCTTTGAAAATTGGTGGGGTGAAATAGAACCAGGCCAAGTGGAGCCATTGGAAACAGAGTTAGTTATTAGTGTCTTCTTGATTCTATTCTTTATGCATTTGGATTTATTTCTCTTAGATTTTAGTCTTTTCACTTGATTAGTTCCTTTGTTTAGCTCCCTTTGTGTTAATATGTCTTCTCATCTCTGCCTTCCTGCTGTCATTCTGCCACAACTGTCCCGCTCACCCCCTACATTAAAAATTGTTTGTAGCCAAACTTTTCTTTATTGGCCTTTGTAATGCAACTGAAAACAATTAGCTTTTTTCTTTTGTTAAATTCATGCACCCTTTTTTGGATTGTCCTGCTAGTGAAATGTGTGACTAATAAACTTACCTTGTCTTCATATTTTCTTTGATTACTTTTTAAACAAGTCATTTGTTCAAAACTTATATGCATTTTTTTTTTACCTTAGAAAAACCTTCCACCTCTAAACTTAAATCTCAGGTCTAACTTGAATTAAATTAGGGTCCTTTCTGAAACATCAACTCTTTGTACTAATTTAACCCTATTCTTAAGGTGACAGTTTAGAAGACCCATTTGCAGCAAAAGCTTTAACCTCCTAACTTATGTCTGTTACAAAGTCATGGTTTGTCCCGCATGACAAACTGTATTTACGGATTTGCAGTTATCCCTTCTGCTTCAAAACACTCAAACTACATAGTGCTCCACATAGAATAATGTTGCTTTTCTCTGTAAATGAAATGATGATCATTATGGCCAAACACAGCAAATTTCTTTTGGTTTTACAAGTGACCCTTTAGTCCATGTCTTTATAGGACTTATTTTACTTTAGATATTGTCAGATTTAATTTTTCCATGATCTAATATAAGTATTTGATTTCTCTCAGGTGTTCCTTAAAGTTTATCCCCAGCTGTCCCTGTACTCAATGCAGATGTTGTAAATTGATCTATCCGAAGCTAACTAAAGCCATGTCAAGGGTATAGACCTCTTATTGTACAAAAACATCAACATTTCAAGGAAAAATAGACATTTATTTAGGAGATCCTAACTTACCTTAAGCAGGAGAGGTTTAAATTGATTAAAACAAAATGCGAGGGCAAAAAAGTTTATGAGGTTTTATATAAAGGGTAATATCTGGTGTCAACTAGATTCTATTTCTTTTAGAAGTACCTTATTGTGAAAGGACAAAGTCTTTCTGTATGTTTTTTAATTAAATTGGTGTATTTTCACCTTGTCTAAATTTATTGGTGTGATAAAACAAAAATAAAATAATACTTCAAGATTCTCCCACCTAAAAGCTCTAAGCATAAATAAATAAAAACATATTCTTTGCCGACATCATCCACCAACAGATGCATACTAACCTATAGTAGATGTATAGAGACCATAACTTTCTTGGTGCGGGGTTTCATGCCTGTTAAAGGGTTGTGGGTGTGGCTTATGAACAGCACTGTAATCTGCCTCTTTGGCCTTCTGTCCAGTGGGAGCAAATAGTTGTATTAAAATAGATAATATTACAGGCCAAGCTGGGCCGAAGGATAGCACCCGCCAGACAGACCTATATAACAGATTGAGACAGGGAGAGGTAATCCTAAAGGGTTTAAATCTCTGCTCATACACGTGATTATCATTTTTTTCCTCCCTGTTTCTGGGTTATTCTGGGCGACTGCATGAGATGAACAAAATTATTTGCTGCTCAGTGGTTTCATTAAGAGCACAGAAAGTCGCTTAACTGTAAAAAAAAAGGGCAGCTCCTGCCTTTATGAATATTCACTAGTTTTTATTATGTTTTCTTTTTATTTCAAAGTCAATTTTAGAGAATAATCTGAGAATGTCTGTAAATGCAGATTAATTGTACCTCTGTTTGAACACACGTGGGGCCACCGTGGCAGGAAAGGACAAACAGCAAATACAGTATTACTCATAATCCTTCATAAGTCAGAAGGCCGAATGCCAAGCTTAGGTTTTGTTATGTTGCAAAAGGACAACAAAAGTGCTTTGTTATATCAAACTAAAAGTTATATTCCTGAAAGTGGACGCACAGCATGAAGATCGAATGTCTCCATTTAACAAGACAATGTGTTCGCTTTGGCAAATTCATAAAAAGTGCAACATTCTGATCAGATTTATTTGAAGATCAAAAACAATCTTGAAAACTCCACAAAATTAAAAACAAATCAACAAAAAAATTGAAGACAGAGATCAGCGTTTAATAACAGGCTGAAAATAAGTCAATTACAGTAAATAAACATGTTGTAAAGCATGTGTGTCATTTTCAAAGCATCCTTTCCAGGAGCGATTAAGCGCTTTTTTTGTATATAACATTGTGCATCTACTAAATCAAGCACACATGCACTAACAGTGGCATATTGGAGTGACACTAATCCCAGAACTAGATAAAAATGATGCAATAAACACAGGGCAAAAAATTGCCCCTGACCTAAATGTTAGCAAGACAGCATTGTTCAGGTGAGCATTCTCTCTGTCGATGGTGAAAATGTTGCTGAGGCACATATTTGTCTCTTTTGTGTTTTTACATTATAAAAAAAAGCATGTCATGAATATAAAATAGAGACATATAAGCATGCTTTGATCAAATAAATGGTCAACTAATGTTGCAATAAGGTGAATTTATGTAACAAAAGGAAAGGCAATTTAAAAAAAGAATGTCTAAAATCTGAAACAGGAAGGATACATTCCTATGTACATTATGGCTTGCTATCTGTGGCTTGACACTCCTACATCATTATTTAACAATAGCAATATAAAAAAAAACATTTATTATTTCCATGCGACAACCTTATAAAATGAAACCAACCTCTAAAGTCACAAAAAGTCTGGTTTAAAGTCAGAAATTATTTGTCTAATCTATGAACTATAACCACAATTTTTGTAATAACCTTAATCTCAGTGTAAAATTAATAATTCAGTCCTTGCATGTGAAGATTAGATGGAGTATATTAGTCAAACATGGATGACCAAATTGCATCTGATCTGTTTTACATTTTTAAAGAAGTGCAATTTTCACATTCCCCACAGCTTCATAAAGAGCAGTTAAACCTATAAAAACAGTTTAGCAGTGATGATTAAAATGAGAAAAAATAAAACACTTTGGTAAGCATATTTTGAGTGAAATTACAATATGTTGAAAAACGTGAGCAGAGCAAAAGCCCAGCAACTTTACAGCTCAATGATCATGGCACTGTGTTTACTCAGATGACACAGAAAAGAAGCCACTGATGTAACTTTCAGCTCTAGAACTCGGATAGGGGCTGGCATAATCAAATGAAGGTTGCTTTCTTCACTTTAGTGCAGGTTGCTTTCTGTGAGCCGTATTGTAGAAGTACTTCATTTTGAGAATCATCTTGTAATCTTACATCTCTTCAAATGAGTTTCATAGTGAACCTTCCACCATCACCTCCGTCCCCCCCTCCTCCGCTAACAGAAGACCGAGGAACAAAGTCAATAGTTGCTGTGTGCTTGATCTGACCTTTGCTTTGACTCCAGAAAAACATGAAGACGAAACAGATGGCAACAGAACTGAGGAATGACAAAAAGCCCATGGTAGTGGCAATTATCAGGGTCTTTGCATCAAAGGGGTATGGCTTGGCCATTTGAGCTGAGGAGTTGGCAGCTTGGGCAGTTGAAGGCTCAACCCAGCCTTCCTCTGTGAACAAAGGAATGGATCTGTTGCGTGGGAGCCCCTTAACATGTAAACCCACAGTCAGGCTGTCATTGCCAGCTGCATTGCTTGCCAGGCACTGATACGCACCACTGTCCTGAACCTGGGCAAAACGCACCTCCAGAGAACCATTTGGTAAAACTCTGACTCTCCCTGAAGAAGATATCACACTCTTATGGGATGAGATCCAGGTGATAACTGGTAATGGATCTCCATCAACCCTGCATAAAAACAGAACAGTGGTACCTTCTTCAACTCTCACCTCCTGTGGCCTGCGGTCCAAGATACGAGCAGGGCGACAGGTGAAAATCTTTGGGAGTTCCTTTTCTGAAAACTCTCTGAATTCCCGATGTTTTGCCAAATCAGGAGAAGAACAGGTGGGCTGATGTCCATCAAAGTTTAAGCGCAGCCTGCGACGGACCACCCACAGAAGTCGGCAGTCACATGCCAGGGGATTCCCATCCAACCGTAACACTTGAAGGTTCCCCACAGAATGGAAAACACTCTCCTCCAAAGTAGTTAGCTGATTTGATGTTACATTGAGCATGCGAAAGAAGGACAGTCCTCTGAAGGCTCCTGGTTCTATTTTTAGCAGACTTGACCCAGCAAGATGCAACTCCTGGAGTCTCAGGAGATCTCCTAGTAGGTTACCTTGGATGACAGTGATAGGGTTGTTGGACAAGTCTAATAAGCGCAGATACACCAGATGACGAAGTGCTGCGTAAGGAATTGAGCTTAGGTTGCATCTATTGATGACAAGTGAGGTCAAATTTAGACCGATAAGACTGTTTGCAGCCATTGTGTCCAATGTTGGCCAGTTTGAGATCACGAGGCTTCGCAAACGGTGGAGTCGTCGGAAAGCATTGTTGGGAAGTGAAGAAATAGCTAGGCGCATCATGCGGAGCTGTGCCAGGCTCTGGAGTTGAGACAAGGCCTCAGTGGGAATGGAGGTCAGGTTGCTGCGGTCTAAGTTAAGCTCTTGTAGATTCTGCAGGCCAAAGAATGCTCTTTGGGAGATGAAAACAAGGTCATTTCCCCCAGCTTCCAGTGTTTGAAGGTTGACCATTTCCTTGAATGTATAGTCCAGGAAAACAAGAATCTCATTCTGGCTCAAATCCAAAAAGCGCAGATTAGACAAGCCTGAAAACACTCCCACTGGAAGGATCTTGAGACGGTTGTTTTTAATTCGGAGTGTCCTAAGATTCCTAAGGCCCAAAAAAGCCTCTACTTCAATCATAGAGATTATATTATCACTGAGGTCCAACTCTTGAAGTTGTGGGAGGCCAGTGAATTGACGACGTCCAACAGTTTTAATCCTATTGCGGGATAAATCCAAACGCCTGGCATCGTTGGAAAAACCCTCTGGTATGGAAGTCAAATATTTGCCAGAGCAGATCGCTTCTCTTGCCTCAGGTCGGCATACACAGCGTGCAGGACAGCCTCCTGCAGAAACTTCCAGTCCAAAGCGTAGCAGGATGCTCCAAACCCACCATCGGACAACTGACTCCACGAACATCTTACTCCCTGCCTGAAAAAAAACCAGACATGATATCATTGCATGATCACACGCTCTCTACCTACATAATCCTTAACAAAGTGTAAACACAAACCGTTTCAGACTTGGAGTGCAGATTTTCATAACCATCTATGTTGGAACCATTCTTGGGTTAGGTCTTCTGTAGCGATTTGGTTTGTTTCTGAAACAATTCTCCAAACGTGTCCTAGATAAAACAAAGAAGTAGAAAAAGCAGGCCTTAGTAAAGTGTCATAAACAACAATGACATCAACATAAAAATAACTAAATTTTCCAGACCAGATTTGTTTCTTCAGGTTAACATCACCGGAAAAAACGATCAAGAAATAAGTAAAACATTTCCTAAATTAACTGTATTTACCCTTAATTTGAGTAGGTAAATGAGATAGTTTGCCAATGGAATGAGTATGTTTACTCTTAAAATAAGATAATTATATAGTATGCAGTTAAAATAAGACAATGCAATTGTTTATTCTTATTTTAAGTGTAAAATGTCCTGTTCCATTAGCAAGATGTCTTTTTTACCTCCTCAATCCAAGATCAAATGCACTTATTTGAAGTAAAAATAATTTTTTCCAGTGGTTCAAAGGGTGTAAACTTTCTTATTATACTATAAATGAACCATGTCACCCTAATTAGTTTGCCAACTCTAAATAAAAAAAAGCAACAAGTAACTTAATAATGGTTGTGACAGACGCAACTTTCGAAGCATTTTGTTCTTTCTTAAATGCTAAAACATATACTCTATTTTGCAGCAGTCTGCTACAGGAACGGCTGAGGCACAAGCTGTGTAAGGTAATGCAAACAAGTTGGGAACCATTTTAAACTCCAGACTCAAAGAAAAAACGCAGCTAAATAGAGCGATGTGCATTACTTATTAGAACTAAATCTGATGTCATTTAATCTGCTTCCAGATGTAATGAATTTTAATTATTTTTCCAACACATAGTAGCGTCCGTTGCAAGTGCAGAATTGTGTATAAAATGATATTCACAACAAACAGTAACAAAAACACATGTTTACGATACATCATGCTAATAAAATCAAGCAAACAACAAAAAAAATATATAAAAAAAATGGTAGTAGACTTGACCACATATTTAAGACAGCTGCATAACACAGCATGCTAAAGTTTCATAGCAAGTCTTTTTGGCAAAATAATTTCAACTTGCAATTCCTTCAAAACAATGACTAATCTCACTTGCTAAATTTCGTCAAAGTTTCAGGAATGAAATAAATTTGTAATATGACAATAAGGCTCATTATAACAATAAAAGAGAGAAACAATGTTTTATTTACCAAAGTTTCCAGTAATAAAGAATCAAAATATCATATGCACCAAAATCTACAGAAGAAAATATTATCAAAGCAATTTAAAATCTAACCTGGAGCAGCAGAACCTTAAACCTCAAGACATCTGACAATTTCCAGAGTGTTGCCCCAGCCTCACTGCAGCCTTTCCTTTCAGTGACAGAGCTGCCAACAGTCTCAGAGCTGTACAGGCTTTGTCTCATCGCTGTTCTCTAAGCAAACGCTTCTTATACCAACTGGGAGGGAGTGCTGACTCACAAGCCAAGACTTGCACTTTTAAACTCACAACACTCATGGTTGGGTGCTGGCAAACCCAAAAAGATTTTTAGGCAACCATTTTTTAAGATGGTGAACATTTAAAGCTGATCCATAAGGGCAACAATTTGATTCATTATTTAAATTCGATTTTTATCAAATGTAAAAATAAGAATTTCTCATAATGTATAGCCTATTCTATTAAAGAGAAGTGTGAAAAAATAACATAGCTTGATTAAAAGAAAAACATGTTTACAATCTTACACGCCTAAAATGACACTCTGCTCCTTCACACCTCTTTAAATATTAGTAATATTAGTACTGCATGGGTAACCTGTAAGATATTAAATTGATTTCAAAAGAATACAAGCAAAATTTTTAAAAACAACATTTTATGTGTAGATTATACGCGGAAACTACAGTTTAAATTAGTTTTAAATACCTTTCCCTAACCAAGCTGTCAGAGACAGAACCTGGCAGGTGTGTGAAATCTCAGGCTGGGTCACTTACTGAGCCCTTTCAGCCAATGTTGGATAAAGATCACCCTTCCTCTCAGTCATTTACACACATCATACAGCTGCTGGCTGCACAGAGGTCACCACGCTGACCCACAGCAGGGACCGACCTCATCCATCAAATCAAAAAGGGGACGGAGTGAGTGGGAAGGAAAGCATTTGGAATTTTCTCATCTATTTCTCACCCGGCTAAGAGAGAAGTCACAGGAGTTTCATATTACGGTGCTAATTACTTTGACTCTTTCTATTGCAGTCATTAGTTGTTCCAACTGCTGATTGAAGGTTAAATTTAAAGGTTATAAAACAAGCTTTTACTGGTGTTGCCTAATAACATTCCAGATTATCTGTAAAAGCATAAGGTAAATTTGCCTTTATTACATTAACTGGCCCAAAAATAGTCTGAAAACAGATTCAGAGTTATGATTTTTTTTAAAAACCTTCCACCACCACAATTAGCCAAGCATTATAGTTTAATTATTTTATGTTCTACTTATTTTAGGTTGCTTTAGTTAGGTCTAATAGGGTCTCTGTTGTAAGTACCAACGCTCTTGAATCTCCCTCACATTCTCCTCAATGTCTGGGGTTCAGTCTGCAAAGCCTGCTGAATCATGCTACCTCCCCTTCATCTCTCAGGTAAACCAATCAGTTGTCATCAACCAACCCCTTCCTGATCAGTCTGCTTTCTCCCCTCATACCAACCATGAAGTTCAGCTGACTTACGGTAGTTCTCTGCTTCTAGATTCTTGTTGCGTTTTTAAATGAACCCTTAAAACTCACAGATTCTGCATGTAGGTCAGAAAAACTACAAACCAACATTAAATAATAAGAGCCTGAGAAACTTTTAATTAGTGGTCTGACTTTGTCTTTCCCTTGGGTTCAAATGCGGTGTGTCACAAAAACCCGCTTTTGCAGCAAAATGCTTTTTATGTTTTGTGATGAAAGTGCTTCATCTGCTGGGTTTGAAGAGCTTCTGAAGCCCTAAAAAAAAGCTGTCAGACAAAATTGTGAAAACACCAAGTAAACTAGTGAGAACTGTTTTACCAAAATATCAAGGTTTTATATAAAAGGAGCATTTAAAAACATGGCTGACAAAAGTTGAATTAAGTAGATTATTTTCATCCTTAAAGCATTTGTCCTCATATTAAAACTTTGATTCCTCCTATAAACTAAGGGATCAATTTATTTTAAGCTTTTTACATATCTTTAACAGATTACTGCAAGTGGTAAGGGTTAGAAGTCCCCACTTATCATGATTAAATCACCTGATGTCCTTGCATAAAAAAATTCAATCCTAAAAAAAAAAAACATAACCAACTCTTTGATAAAATTTTTATTATGGCAAATTTGAACAGCGCTGCAGGGAGTGTCATGAGACCAGTCCTAAAAAACCTTTTAGCTGAACGTATTTTATTTACGGGGCCTTATCCAACTGATCCGACTTTGCCAATTTGGTTAGCTCTGCCCTTTCATCAGACAAAACTCATCAAGCCTCTCAGCCCGGGTCCGTTATCGCATTACATCAGTCTCTGGCCAGTTGCCATCAAATGTTCAGTCTGTCTTCAGCGACTGGACATAAACAAGGTTCTGCAAAATGTCTCTATCCATCTTTTCTTCATCATTATCCTTGTGTAATGATAATTTTAAAAATATGTTTTTTAAGATCAAAGTCATTAAGATTTCAAGATTTTTTAAACCAAAAAAAAATTTTACAGCTCAAAAATTCAGAGAAACAGAGGCCTAAAAATATTAGAAGAAGCAGACTTATTTATACAGTTTCCCATAAAATACAGATTTAAAATTACCCCACACTGCAGCAGTGGTATTTTTTTATGCTTTGTTGCTTGTTTGAGTGTTTGTACCATTTTATGTTAAGAAGATGTGGTTAAGTCTCTGTCAGCTCATCACTTCTAACCCCTGGGAGGTTTTCCTTTGCTTCAGGCAAAGCTGCTTCAGCTGCCTCATGCTGGATGGCTTTAACTTGTGCTGTTCAAGTCAAACCACAAACTTAAAATGTCAATGAACTCTGCAATTTGACCAGGCCATTCCGACACATTTATACCACTTAAGTGTTGCTTTATAGTGTGCTTTGGGTCATTCACCTGCTCAGGGGTGAACCTAGGCCAAAGTCTCAAATCACAGGAAGAAAGATTTACTTAAGAATATCCCCCTATTTAGAATCCATCTTTCGCTCCACTTAAACAAGTTTCCGAGTCCCTGTTGCTGAAAAACATTTCAATAGCACCATGCTGCCACCACCATGTTTCACTGTGGAGATTGCATTCTTGGAGTGATCGGATATGTTGGGTTTGAGCAAGACTCATGATTTTCCTTAGCTATCTAAAAAGTTAAATTCTAGTCCAATCAGACCAGAGTACATTCCTCCAAATATTTTGGGAGTCATCCACAACTGCTGTTTGGTAAATTCAAGACAATTTTTTTATGGATGGATGTATGACTTATTGTACTCCTATCAACAGACACTCCTGTTTCTGCTGTGGCACAATGCAGCTCATTCTGGATAATCATTAGTCTCTGTGCTGGCTGTCTGACTGATGTCCTTCCTTCCCAGTCTGTCAGTTTTGGGGGGTTGTCCCTGTCTGGCATGTTTTTTTATGGGACAGCACACATAGTGCTTGCCATTTGGTGTCAATTCCAAGAGATCCAATGACACTTAGCTTGCGCACAGATAGACTTCATTTTGATGATAATTGATGATAATTAATAAAAAAAATGTAATGATAAATAACTTCTAAAGGTAAAGGTCTAAAGGTAATTGGTTGTACCATCCATCCATCCATCCATCCATCCATCCATCCATCCATCCATCCATCCATCCATCCATCCATCCATCCATCCATCCATCCATCCATCCATCCATCCAGCCAGCCAGCCAGCCAGCCAGCCATCTTCTTCTCCCATTTAACCCACCAGGATTGCAGTGGGGTTGGTCCCTACCTCCAGCACTCTATGGTTGAAAGGCGGGGTTCACCCTGGAAAGGTCGCCTGTCCATCACAGATGTATTTCTTTATATTGCGTATTTATTCTTATTTCACTTTATCAACTTCTGCATATATTTATCAAATGACATAAGCTTATAGAATCACT